TACCTACCTCCCATTTATTTTAATGAGAGGGGAAAAAAAAACCTTTGCGCCAGTACTGTCCCCTTTCTGGAGTCAGAAGCAGGAGGCAATATAGGGCTCACACAGAGCCAGAATTCACTCAACAATGTTCCATGATAAGAATACATTAGCAGTTCCTGAGCCAACATTTGGGTCCTCCGCTTGTGGTCATTGCCTTCCAGGATGCCATGTCCTCTAAAGAGGTGGAAGATTCGATGCTGACCACCAAGGGCAAAAACAGAGCACTTTGAAGAGTAGAATGGCGTGGCCTCCTCTGGGCCTTCAGATGGTTATGTGAGGCTCCTCTTCTTGGGGTCCCCAGCTGGCATTCATATTATCAGCAACAGCGCTGCCATACGTGAGCTTTATAACCACACCTGGGAATAGTTTTCTCCCATGGTTTCCGGAAGACCTTCCTTCATTGGTTTACAGCAAGAGGGTGGATGAGGTAGAATTCTCAAAAGCAGAGAGTGATGTAAATGACCTGATGGTGAATCTCAGCAGTGTAAAGAAGCTACCGTTATGATGGAGAAGCAACTTTTTTATTTTTATTTTTTGTCTTTTATGAGACAGAGTCTCACTATGCAGATCAGGCTGGCCTTGAACTCACTTTGTAACCCAGGTTGGCCTCAAACTTGAAACAATCAGCCTGCCTCAGTCTCCTAAGTTCTGGGATTACAGGCATGCGCCACCACACCCAGCTGGAGAAGCAACTTTTGAAGATGATGAAAAGGTCAGGGAAAAAGGAGCTTGTGCTTCACATCCTAGACACTATGGTGTTTCTTTAAAAACTTGTACATCTTCATCCTCAATTGCTACTGGGTCTATGGCTCATACAGGTCTAAATCTGTTACGCAGAGCCCTGACAGACATGATAGAGTTGTAACACCAGTCATCTAAGTATGCTAAAATAGCATGGGATTGGTAATTTTACAAAACAAATCAGATGACAATTTTCTTCTATATGTCTTGAAATCACTGATATGCCACAAGCCTGACTGTCAGTTAAGTGTTCAGCTGTGGCTTAGATTTAGCATGAAGGGTAGTTAGAACAATTAGTAGTTCTTCACCCTTTACGGTGAAGCCTGAAGTTGTGCGGTAGTACCAGGTCTTGAATGTGCAGTGCCTGAAGACCTTCCCTCATTGGTTACCTTTGAAACAATCTTTTTCATAATAAAATGCTAAAATTACAGAAAGAACTTTGCCGGGAAAAAATGGCAGTGCAAGCTGGGCATGGGGGCACACACCCGTAATCCTAGCTTTCTGTGAGGCTGAAGCGTGAAGATCACAAATTTGAGCCCAGCCTGGACAATTTAGCAACTTAGTGTCTCAAAATAAAAAAATACAAAAGGGCGGTGGGCTGGGGATTTAGCTCAGTGGCACAGTGCCTGCCTGGCAAGCGCAAGGTTGTGAGTTTGATTCCCAGTACTGGAAAAAAAAAAAAAAAAAAGGGTTGGGGATGTAACTCAGTGCAAAGCACCTGTGTTCAACCCCCAATACCAAAAAAGAAAAAAAAAAAAGGCAGTATGATTGGGGTTGTAAATATGCGGACCCTATAACGTTACAGCTCCCTCCTAAGTATATGCCCTAATGCAGAGGTTGGCAAGCTTTTCCCTAAAAGGCCCTGGGCGTTCACACTGTTGGCTTTGCAGGCCATATGACCAGTTTCTGTCACAACTCCTCAATTCTGTATTCATTGTGCAAATATGGCCATAGACAATATGTAAATAAATAGGAGTGACAATATGATTTATTTATAAATACAAGTAGTGAGCCAGATGTAGCCAACTCATTCAAGAGAAAATCATCCAGGTATGTGCCAAAATACAGGTTAAAAAAAATGTAGTGTGCTATTTTTCATTATAACCGCAAATCACAAACAACCCAAACCCAAATGTCCATCAATAAGAAACTCAGCAAATAACCGTAGTGTACACATACCCAGGCACTGCCAAACAGCAAATCAAATGACCTGCACAGTACGCACAACGACATTCTTATAGGACTCAGATCCAGAACCAGAACTTAAAGACAAAACGTTGAGAAAAAAGTAGCCAGACACAAAGGGGTGCCTTCTGTATACTATTTGATTTGGTACAAACTGCATTGTCTAGGAATACACACTTAGGTGGTAAAACTGTCAAATAAAGCAAACAAGTGCTAGGAAGAAAGTTGGAAAGCAAGAAACAGTGGCGACCAGGAATGAGCTCGGAGAAGGGCTCTGAGTGATGGCAACGTACTACTCCTTGACTTAGGTGATGGTCATGTGACGTTCACTAGTTAACACTTTACAGAACTACAACTGAGTTTTCATGTGTTTTTTTAGATGTGTGTAAACTCCATTTAAAAATGTGGGATTTTTCAAAGGTACTTTCCATCTACAAAGTGCTACACATGACAGGTGTTAGTAATCTGATGTCGGGGTCTCTCTGGAATGAGTGGTGTTACTCAGTGCTTTTATTTGCTGTGTATGAGCAGGTGCCTGACTTCCTATGTGCTGGGAGCTGAGACTGATCAGTCAAAGGACAATTCAGAAGCACATTAGCCAGGGCTTTGCGTCCATGTACGTTCACTTGCACCCAAGATGATCTCTTAGTAGCTCATATGTTTTTTATTTGTAATCTGCAAAATACTAATGTGCACACCCTTGGGAACAATCTCTGCATTGTTCCTGTAAGTGAAATCAGACACTGACTACATGGTATTCTGGAATAGTAGAGGTCTGCAGCTGTCTTCCCTCTTTCACTCTGAAAAATATTATGAAATTGAGAAGTGCTATCTTTGATAGTGTCTCCTGGGAGCGGAGCACGTGATGAACAGACTTCCACGGTGGAAGAGATGGGTGAGGAGGTTAAGTAAATTTTCTTTGTGTAGTTCCCATTAAACTTCAATCAGAGTTACAGAAAGAAATTTCCTCCAGGCGGCTGCGAATACAGGTATTGGTTTGACTTTAATAAAAGTCACAACTGATCTCTCTGAGGTCTCTCGTGGAATGAGCTCAGCAGAATTCAGGCAGGTCCTTGAGAGGAAAAGCGCCCACTTAAACATCGCATTATCCTAATAATCCCATTCCAGAGCCACCGTCCCATTATTTTAAAGGTCTTCATTTGCAAATTGTGGTATTTGAAATTTTTCTTTTTACATTATTGCAGAAAGCAGATGGGTCTTTCTGAGGGCCACAACCTATTTACAAACTCCATTCCTTCCAGGCCGGTGTTAGAGGGCGTGGTGGGTAGCCTAGGCCACTCTGCACCTTCACATCATTGCTTTGATTAAGCTGTATATTTAAAGCAGCACCTGATTTGGTGGCAAGACCAATTTTAATGAGATTTGTTAAGAAAAGAAAAAACTCTCTGCTAAGAATGCAGGTGGTCAGCATGCACAACAGGATAATTTTTTCCCAAGACATGATGACATCTCACTCATCCATGTGTTATCCAACAAATCTTTTCAGTGTACCTACTGTGTGTTAGGCACTCTTCTAGGCACTGAAATAAAACAAGTATTACGATAGATAATGAATCTGCAATCTAGCAAGGGAGAGAGTGAACAGGTAAAAAGTAAGATAAATTCAGATAATGAGAGGTATGAACAAAGAACCCTGGAAAATAGGTTAGGTGATGAGTAGGGATGGGGCTGTAATACAGGTTAGGGGTCGAAGCCTCTTTCAGAAGGTAATTTGTAAATTGACAACTAATTGAGAAGGAGCCATCCATGCCTCTATAATAGGCAAGGAGGTTCCAGGGAGAGGGTAGAGCAAGTGCCAGGTGCTTATGGGAAGAAATTTGGTGGCCCTAGCATACACTAAACATGGAAGAGGGGATCTGAGATACATTTGGAAAGGTGGGCAGGGGCCGGTTCTACAGAGCCTGTGGGTAGGCCTTCAGATTTTATTGTACATGCAACATACCTTTGCTTTCTAAGTATACAAATAAATATTTCTTCAGATAATATATAGCTTTCTGGGATGCACAGGCACTTGGATGGGTATGAAGGAATAAACAAAGTGGCTCCGAATCCTGGCATTGCCCCTAATTTGTGGGCAACTATAGGAAAGGCTCGCCAGCCTCACCAAGCCCTGTCAGTAAACCTGGTGTACTGGCGATGTCTGTGAAATGCCTGGCCAGTTCAGGCTGACACTCAGTAGACACTTGATCATTTACAGCAGAACTTTAATTTGAATGACCTTGCAGACCCGCTGAGCCCCTGGGGCAGCCTTCTTTTCAGTAAAAGCTCATTGTTGAAAAATGAGGTCAGGCCAGTGTAATGCATCAAGGAAACTCCAAAGCTATTAACAGATCTTGGGCAGGTGGCCTTTGGGTAGTAGGACAGGCACTTGGTTCAGTTGCTGGCTCTGCAGCTCACTAACTGGATAATCCTGGGAAACTGAGCCTTAGCTTCCAAATTCAAAAAACATAACCACCGCCATAAGTATGGCCCTGTGCATCTCCAGAGTTAGGAGAACATCTGATGATGACAGGTGACATGTTAACATGTTAACATGTTAACAGGTGACATGATGTTACACAGGTGACATGTTAACTTCTCAGGCTCCTTCTGCTAACCCTTCACTCTCTACCCATGGAGATGGAGGAGAATCCACCATGCCCTCTGCGTAAGTCCATGGCCAGCCCGGGAGTTGGAGGACAGAGCACGTGAATCCCTCAGGACTTTCCTTATGCTTAGTCTCTACTAGAGTTAGAAGAATTCACTTATGAATTTCCTTCAGCTGCCCTATAATTTACACTCTCTGCCAAATTTAAAATGACTGTAATCTCATTCCTTGGCACATATCCCCTCTCTTTGAGAAGGTAAGGATACCTTAACAGGTACCACCGCCATCTCCTCCTTGGTACTCTGCCACCCAGGATTCTCATTAGAATGGTGACAGTGACACCAGCAGGGGCTCTGGTCAGCTTTTCTGCTGCTGAGGAGAAAGGGTCCTGGATTCAGGACTGCAAGGAGACGTTCCTTTTTTGCAGCCAAAGGAACACAGAGAAGAGAGGCGAGGCTGACACCAGGTCAGCATGCCGGGAGCACGGAAGGCAGAGCTCAGCCTTGGATGAGGAGAAAGGTGACCCATGGAATTTTGAGAAAGAGCAGCTCCAGCCTAAGGTCTACAGATCGGTGATTTCCACTTATGAACTGAGGTGGGGACCTAAAGGGACAAATGTAACCAACCTAGACATCTGGGACAAAGGAGGACAGGAGGAGTGTACATGTAAAATGATCTGGTTTGAGTTTTGGTTTTTTTGTCCTTGAGAGCATGACTGGAGGCATGTTTGCAGAAGTTTGGGAAATGAAGATAATGTGGCAAGGGGCAGGAATGTGGAGAGGGATGGGGCTCTCTGCCAGGGAAGGTGGATAACACAGTCTCCTGTCTGACCGTCAGGAGAGTTGTGTGCAACAGGGCAAGATTTATCATGTTCCCATTCACAGGTGAGAAGACTGAGTCTGAGCTACTAAAGCCACACCCATTGGGACCCAGCTGACAGAAGGAAGTACCTCCGCTTCAGTCCACAGGAGGTCCTCTCAGTACCCTCCACCTCCCTCACCATCTCCCTGTACCCCGGAGGGAAGAGGGAGAATCCAGACCCCCAGGAATGATGCTGACTGCTCATTAGCCTGAAGGAGAAAAAGTGGATGCATAGCTCTCTCTTGTTTAAAGGAACAATTTGTACTGATTAGGAAAGGCATTTGTTCAAGTCTGCAAATCCTTTTAAGAACTAGAATCCACTTCTGTTCTGAAAAGGCCTGCACTCAGAGCTTCTAACTGATGATAATTACTAGTCCATTATTCTCTTGTGGAGCCCTTGGCCCTGCAGAGCACCTTGAGGGGTAATGCCTGCAGGCCCAGTGCTGCCCAGCAAGACTCCTGAAGCTCCTCCCTTAGGAACCAATGTCAAGGGCTCCAGGAGAAACCAGCAACAGCCCCACTGTGGTCTGAAACTTGTGCTTTTTGCCAGATAAAATACATGTATGCCACTTGGGATGGTTTTTAAAATTATGTGTCTTTTATCTGAAATTAAAATTAAATTAAACTTTAACTCGGCCTCCTATATTTTAATTTGCTAAGTCTGCCATCCCTTACATGCCATCCATCCCTTTCCCACAAGACTGCGTCCCAGCACCTTAAATTATATGTGACCACTTTGGTGAGAATGCCTTTTGTCCCTCGGGTACCTCAAAATCTGCTGGGGTGGGAAGAACACAGGTAGAGACTGATGCTTCTCTGTGCAAGGGTCCTGTAGGACTTCACATAGTCCAACTCACTTTAACCCCACCATAGCACTCCTGTCCCAGGGTCGGAAACTGAACATCAGAGAGCTTGCCTTTCTCAAACTGACCTCCCCTGTGAGTGGCAGGACTAAGGTTTGAAGCCTTGCTTGGGGATCCCAGGGAGAGAGCGTGTGTAGCTCTGTGAAGTTACCTCGCGAAGCCTCTGTTTCCTCTATAAAACAACAGAGGATTAAAGTTCCACCAGCCTCCTGGGAAGGATTAAATGGGATGCTGGGTTGACATCACTGCTCCAGGGGCTGGCACACGCTTAGGGCTTGATGTATGAGGATGGCTTCTGGGTTCACTTCCAGCTTCCACCTTCGGTGGTCCAGTGCCATCCGGTACCCACGGCAAGGCAGTTTGGCCTAGACGCTTCCATCTGGGACCTGCCTTGGCTTTTGGGAAGGGACTGGAGACTAGGAAATGTGTGTAGCCTGGCACTGGCTTGGTGGGGCTCCAGGTGCTATCTCTGAGCATTGGTTTTGTTGTCGATAAAATGAGGGACAATTGTGCTCAAAGCCTCGGTGTGTGCAGTAGCAAGGTGATGCTTCCAAAGGGCCTTCAAAGTCCCAAACCTCCAAGCTGTCCAAGACCTTGCACAAATGTTCACACTTCCACCTGGGCATCTCCCAAGCTGGGTGTGCCTCATCGAAGGTTCTGAGCAACCAGACCTTTTTCCAAAGAGGAGGACAGTGTCCAGCGGCCTCCCATCCAGGTGGCAATGCTCTGCCTTGTCCTTATCTAAATGTAGCTCCCCTCCTACCCGCACCATTAATCTATTGTCTGCTTGGTTTCCCTTCAGAACCTACATGTAGGTCTTCCCAAGTAAGTCAGGGTCCCTCTCCAGAAGATGGGTCACGTTCTGGGTCCTGACATTCTTTGCCAGCCCAGTAGCATGGGCCATGCTAGACGGGGTCCCAAAATAACACAAGAGAACGGTTGAAAAAAGATTCAGAAACCAATGTCCTTCATTGTCATCCTAGACCTTCTGCGGAAACCCAAGAAATACGTTACTTGTGAGTAGGACTGAAAAAAACTCTGTGCCTAAGATTCCTCACTCTGAGGGCTACTGACTTTTCCCATTGCAAGAGTAACCGAGCATCTGATTGCTGAAGAAATGGCAGGGGACAAAAGAGATAAAGTCCAAAGACGCTTCGTGTCTCCCCTGCATTATTAAAAGGGTTAAATTACAAAACAATGGCATGGATCTTGGCATAAAGTAGGTAGGTAGCTGGTGGGCCCTGGGTAGATAGGGTAACATTTCCTTAGCACAAGTATCCTGAGGAAACTTAAGCTCATGCTCAATGGCAGTCTTTTTCATTGTTAGGTATTTCATGCATACAGCAGCATCTTGCACATGATAAGTCCTCAGTAGTACATATTTACTCATGAGTGAATGAAAGAAGGGATGGATGGATGGACAGATGGATGGATAAATGGATGGATGGAAGGGTGGATGAATGGATGAATGGCATCCAGTATTTAGGTATAAGGCAACAGTTCATCAAAAATAAAAATGAAATGACATTCTAGAAGGAAGTCAAGAGCAGCAGTTTTGAGGTGGAGGAGAGCAGGCTTTTGTACAGGCCTGGTGGGTAGGTGATATAGGTGGAAAGATTTGGTCTTGGAATTAGAACCATAAAAAAAAGAGACAGAGTGCTCCTATTCTGCCAAGCTCTCTGACATCTCTCTGACATGCAAAGCCAAAAACCTTAATACCTTCTCGAACTTTTCTTCTCATACTCTACATTCAACATATCATCCATTTCTCCATCTATACCTTATAGATACCAGTGCTTCCTAAATGTCATTTCTTCTCACCTTCCATGTGATTTCCATCTCTTCAAGTCATCAGTATCTCTCATCTGGAAAGATAGTTTTAGTAAGTCCTGATGTCTTCCTGCTTCTACTTTTGCCCTTTATGCTTCTTCCCCACACAGCAGCCATCCTGATTCCTTTAAAAATCGAGTCAGATCACACCACTCCTCTGCTAACAATCCTCCAAAGTTTCTACCCCATCTCAGAATGCGCATGTCTTTACTGTGGTCTGCAAGGCCCTAAACAACCTACCCAGTCTTCTTGCTGACCAATTTCACCCTTACGCATCACTTCCTGCTGCTCTTTCTTAGACAGGCTGCTACGTTCCTCTCCCAGGCTTACTGTGCTTGCTTTGCTTTCTACCTGGTCATTTGAGATGGGTCTAGCTTGGCTCTGAATCCAGAAGGAGATGAATGTTACACAGCCTTGCTTCTGCTTGTGCTTCTGCCTTGTCATGATGAAATTTCTATTTCTAACAGTCTCCTGAACCCTCAATCAGTTCTTCTACTCAGGCCTCCCTAGAGCATGCCCAGTGTCTTACCAGGAGAAAACTCTAGTACCAGTCAGTGATTTAAGCCCTGGAGTAAGAAAATTTGAGAGCAAGGCTGTGCAGGTTGTATGCTGTACAAGAACACAAGTCAGCATGGCCAGTCTGGGTTGGAGCCCAGCCTGAACTCTACTTGCCAAGCCTGCCTAGTGGCAGGGGATTGGATCCTCCCAGAGAAGTGTGCCATTTTCTAATTGGCACAAAGGCAACTTATGGGCCAGCAGAGACCTGCCTGGGAAGCTGAACAGGAAACAGTTGACATTCAAGCCAGGGGTCCAGAAGGAAAGTGCTGCAACCTTGGTCCTGACCCTGGAAACTGGAAGCTGTGTGGGCTCAGCATGGGAAACCAGCAACAGACGGACAGCAAACCTCCAGGAGGGTGGCTGGAAAGTATCTGCCTCCCTTGATCTTTCGACTATGTAAGGTGGGTTCCACCTAAGGCAGGGATAGAGGCATCCTAAACCTCTTTAGATCAAATAAAAACTGCAGACACGTCTGCAGAAAAGGGCATACTTGTGCACACACAGTACCCTAAACCTTGTACTCAGTTTCTGAGACCTGCACCCTGTCTACCGAATTCTCTATCTGCATCTATTAAGCCAAGTCCCTCTGGCAATCCAGGATCTTTAAGAGTCCTCCAACTCAGATGCAAAATTTCAGCAGCATCTAAACACTGCCAGGAAGCACCTCCTCTGAGCAGGTGTGCTGAGCAGTGGAGGCTTCAGAAATCCTCGTGGGAGTGTGGTCCGTGGGCAGGACCCTGCTTGACCCAAAGGCCAAGGAAGTTCCTCTTTCTCTCCCTGCCTCCTCACCCTATAAATCCTATTCCTTCCCTTTTCTTTCTCAAAGTGCCCCGGCCACTTTCTCAGAAGCACAGACAGTCTCATCACCAAAGGGCCCTGACAATTAGCTACGCACCATCGCTGTGCCGTTTAGCCTTCAATTTTCCTGACTACCACAAGGATTAACTCAATCTGTGAGACTTCACTAGGCCATTTAAGGGAGCATCATAACTCTTTCTGTTCCCCAGAAATTGTAACTCGGACTTGGTTTTGTAATGCTAATTGCCTTATCTTCATAAATTCTACAGTCTTACATAATTTACCCCGCATTGTAGCAGGATTTCCCAAGAATAAAAAAGCAGGTGCCGTCAATGGTAATTTGAATAAGAAAAGACATGTTAAGTGGTTCTTCTCTCACTAGTAATAGAAATTAATTAGCTTTGAGCAGCTTTGGAGGTTTTTGCATTTTTTGCTGTAACCTGTTATGTTTTCTAATTGTATGGAAAGAAGGTTTGATTTGATCACATTATTTGGTGACGAAGAGGCCTCTGTTTGGAGTCAAAGGTACAGGAACGGTGGCATCCAGAGGGTGGGAAGCCACTGGAGCTGGCATGCAGGGAGTGCAGGCTTTGTAGTCAGATAAACACGAGTTTTGAGCGAGGGTGAACCGCTCGCTAGCTCTGTCACTCTGGACGAATCACTTCTCCTCTTTAAACTTCATCTCCGCCCTGTGCAAGACAGAGGTCACAAACTCTGAGAGGGAGCAAGGAGCTATGCCACTGGGAGTATTCACTCTGGAACTGGACATACCTACTTGGTTCCACCACCCCTTTATTCTGTGACCTTTCCAGTTAGGATGTCTTTAACTCTTAGAAACATTAAATACTGCTAAGCAATACAAAAATGAATAATCTCCCATGAAAACACTAAAGCTAGTGTAGGCTGCAGGAGCAATGCAATTCATGGATATATCAATATGATCAAAGATCTTTGTCTACTTTCTTCACTCTGCCTTTCTCAGCACTGGCTTTGTGGAGGTAGCTCCACCTCTTCCCTGGCAAGGATGTAAGCTCCCCACTGCTTAGCCAGCAAGAGACGGAGTGAGCCTCTCCTCCCACAGTGGGGTATAAGCCCTCCCCTTCAGTCTGACGGAGTCAGTTATTCTAGCTGTCCATCTTGGAGCTATATCTGATTCCAGAAGGCCACGTGGATTATTAGACTGATCAAGATCTCCAGCCAGAGAACTGGGCTGGGACTGGCTTCCTTCTGAATCATGAGGAGGAGGGATTTAGTAGGAAAGAAGTGGGGAGGTGGGTGAGGGAGTGGGTGCCTAGTAGTCTCTCCACTGTGCTATGTAGTAGAGTACCTTGTAGCAGTAACTATAGTGAGCTTGGCCAAGTTACTTATCCCCCTCTAACCTGTTTCTTTGTCTACAAACTGGAGACAGCAGAAGTACCACCTCATAAGGTTGCTATTATGATTTTGTAATGCAGGTCTGAAGAAGCTTGGGCCCTTTGTGTCCTCCAATTTCTTCCTCTTGTTTTTCCTCC